ATTGTGTACTGCACCAATTAAATAAAATACTTTCCTGAGTGCATCTCTTCGTATATGTATTTCTGTCAATCAAAATTTGTATGGCTATTTTTACACGATTTCATTTCACTCCGTACGATTTTATCGTGCAAACAGAGGATCAGTCATATATTAAAAAAAAAACGGAAAAGGATATTTATCTATGGAACATTTTTGTTCAATTTAAACAAAGAGAGCAGAGCGAAATTGAAGTGCTGAAGAATGATATTCCCTCGTCCGGACCGAACTAAAAACGCGTAAAGCCAAATAACGAATTAAATGATACGGTATAGGAAAGTAGCACAGCTTTGTAAAGCTATTTCAAAGGGATTATTTGAAACGCGATGGTCGCACGACCACGGATCGTCGAATACCGCGGATCAACGTCGTCCGCTGATGTATTGCATAACGCTTTGTTACGATGTAATTCCACTTTTATTCACGAAACGTCGAGCCATAAATCATACGGCTCGCAATTAAAACCAATCATTCGTAATTAAAATAGCTAAAAATCCTGGCTGAGACAAGGGAAATTGATAAAATAAAAAAATTCGCTGTTTTAGCTTTTTTGTATATAGTACTACTACTTCGTACTTGTAGATTATTAAATCCAGACTTAATTATTAAGTTGAAACAAATTGAAAATTTGCAGGGGGAAGATTCGTGGTGACCTCTCAGGGAGACCTTCACATCAGAGCGACCAGACCGGAAGACGGTAGAGCAACGTATTCGTGTTTAACGTTTCACGCGTTGACCGGTGAAAGAAGAAGAAGCGAGTCTGCGACATTAACAGTCACAGGCAAGCAAATGAATTTCTTTGTGACATTGAGCCCTATGCCAACGGGACCTAGAGTATGAACTATGAGATGAGGCTGGCTCAGGAAAACAGATAGTTTCGGAGAATTACGTCCCATAAAGAGTCAAAGACTATGTCATACAATAAATTTGCTTGCAATATAAAGAGAAGATAAACTCATTACATTTACTTTATGGCCGAAATCAAACGTTGTCCATTTTTTTCGGATCGCAACTACTTCATCCTACAACAGTTCATACTCCAGTTAATGGAGTCTGCACTCCAATTAGTAGAGTTCAATGCACCGCCATTGTGCCTATGAAAAGGTCGTAAAACAAATTGTACAAAACGTACAATGTTCGATTTCTAGAACCAACGGGGAATATGCCACCAAGGTTGATGCAGTGGTCTCAGATCGCCATCTCAGCGGAAAGCGGGACGGACGTTCATCTAACTTGCTCAGCCCAGGGGAGTCCGCCCCCACAATTTACTTGGTATCGCGATGTTAACGGTTGGTTTAATTACCAAATTGTTTACCGCATGATCTAGTTAAATATTTCATTTTAAACGACGCAACTTCAACACAGAGAAATATTAACAAAATTAAAATCGTCAATCATTGAAAATATTTATTACAGAAATGAAAAAATTGCGATATAAAATTATTACACTATAAAAATTCATATTAATAATATGATATACCAGTAACAATCATTTATAATAAAAGAAAATATAATAAATGAATGAACTCAATTCCTATTCCATATTTTATTAGTGAAATGGCGAAAGTAATGGAAACAGTAATATCCGATATTGCGGGCGCTAAAGCGAGTATCCTGCTGTTATAGGTCATTCGATACCGGTTGAATCACTCGGCCGGATTCAGTTCTGGGGTGATTTGATGCAAATTCGGCGCGTGGACGCTCAGGACGCAGGCAGATACATTTGTCGAGCTAGCAATCGTCTAGGCGAGCAACGAGCGGAGACACATCTGTCGGTCACATCCAAACTTAACGCCAGGATACAGCCTCGGGTTCAGGTGACCCTCTTCTTCCAATTTCATTATATATTAAAATTCTAGAAATAGAATTTCAGTGATATGAAACATATTTTAATGTATATCTTCTTTCACCTGTCNTTCCTATTCCATATTTTATTAGTGAAATGGCGAAAGTAATGGAAACAGTAATATCCGATATTGCGGGCGCTAAAGCGAGTATCCTGCTGTTATAGGTCATTCGATACCGGTTGAATCACTCGGCCGGATTCAGTTCTGGGGTGATTTGATGCAAATTCGGCGCGTGGACGCTCAGGACGCAGGCAGATACATTTGTCGAGCTAGCAATCGTCTAGGCGAGCAACGAGCGGAGACACATCTGTCGGTCACATCCAAACTTAACGCCAGGATACAGCCTCGGGTTCAGGTGACCCTCTTCTTCCAATTTCATTATATATTAAAATTCTAGAAATAGAATTTCAGTGATATGAAACATATTTTAATGTATATCTTCTTTCACCTGTCTTTCACCTATCTTGTCTCATGAGAAATGTACAATAATTTATTGAAGTAATGTGTTAGAATTTCAATTCCCCTTCAACCTATTTTCAATGCGTCTGCAAATGGCTCGGTTTTTAATCACCAAATGAAAAGCACTTAATTCCACGCCAGTTTTTACCGTCTTTTTGGAGAGTATCGATTAAAATTTGCAAACAGAAAGGCTACAATCGTTGGCAACCCCGATTGGAACGATAAGCCGCGCGAGAGGTAGAGAGCGACCAGGATCACGCGTTGCGCTGCGTAAATCGCGGTGCCATGGGCATTAACTTTCGAGCACGAATCGTTAACCGTTTCCCGGTATTTACAGACCATCAATTCCGGAGAGTCGGCCACTATGAATTGCACGGTGGAGGGTTATCCGGTCGAGAGCGTCGAGTGGATACACGACGGTGTGCCAGTATTGACCGTCCAGGACCCTAGGATCAGATTAGTGGTACCTCTGGTGCTCGTGATAGCCTCGGTCGGTCGGAAGGACAAGGGGATGTACCAGTGCCTGGTTAGAAGCGACAAGGAGAACGCCCAGGCCACCGCGGAATTGAAACTCGGAGGTATCACGATCAATCGTTAATCGAAATTGCCTATCGCTTTTGACTACCTCGCCTTGTACATTCTCATCAATACCATTGTAAACAATAAATGATTGGATTTATACTGTATGATATTAGACAACTTGAAGAAATATTAATAACTAACGTTTTCTGTTGCGGCTTTGAACGTAATACTTTTGCCTCAGTGAAAGATGATGGAATACATTTTTTATTTAAGATCGTAAAGCTGCTTGCTGAACTCATTTTACGAAATAATAAAAATAAGGAAGTTACGTTTCATTCTATTTCAAAATGTGGAAAATGTCGAAAAATCTAGAAATTGAATTTTATATGATTAAATGATAAAAGAAACTTGTATTAAAATTCGATTTGTCAGACACGGTGCCGGAGCTGCAGTACACGTTCATTGAACAAGCTCTGCGGCCGGGTCCTCCAGTATCCTTGAGGTGCTCCGCGACAGGATCACCGCCGCCGTCGTTCACTTGGCTGTTAGACGGAGAGCCTCTGAGCGAGATCGCCTCCGGGCACAGGTGCGCATCTAGATCCTCATCGATCAATACTCCCTTCTCGTTGCTCCTTCTTAACCGAGCACAATGCACCGATGCAGGTACGCGATAGGACAGTACGTCGATCAGTCCGGGGACGTGATCAGTCACTTGAACATATCATCGGCCGGCACCGAGGACGGTGGCCTCTACGCCTGTGTCGCCGCTAACACCCTGGCCACGGTCGAGCACAAAGCTAGGTTGAACATTTATGGTAAGTCAAATTTCAATTCAAGCGGAGAAATTTAAGAGATACAAAAATACTCCTTGTCGAGTATAATTTATTAAAAAATAACTGAAGAGATAAGAGCCGTTTTATATTTGGAATATATATTGTTTAATGTTTAATCCAATGTTCGAAGCTGGTCGGTGTAGGCATTATAGAAATTGCATACATATATGTAGGTGAAAGGCATTTTGGGACGATTGATAATTTCAGGTCCACCGTACATCCGATCGATAGGACCGGTTCGCGCGATAGCCGGCATCGATACCACCATCGCGTGTCCCTATTCGGGCTATCCTATCACGTCCGTCGAATGGTCTCGTGGAGTAGTCGCACTGCCTCTCGATATAAGGCATCACGTTGATAGCGAGGGCCATCTTTCCATAGCTAACGTGGATCCGAACGATGCTGGGACGTACACGTGCATGGTCCGTGCGAGATCCGGGGAAACGGCAAGCAGAGACATTCTACTAACCGTCAGCAGTGAGTATTTCATATATTATGAATAACTAGCGTGCCCCGCTGGGGCTTCGACCGCGTGTTTTCTCTCGTTACAGCTCGGATTACTGTACGAAGAGATAAAAATCATAATGGCGTTGTTCACTTTTCGTAATTGAAAGATACCGCAAATGGTACAATTATCCTGTTAACATATCTACATCATGCTAGTATCATTTTGTTCAAAAAAAAATTTAGACATCTTTTTTAAAACTACAATTCGAATTGCAAATACTTCAGTCGTTCTTGAGATTTTTATTAACATACAAATAAACGTTTTCTTTTTATGTAATATTATTAATAATTATTTTAGTACTAAGGTATTAAAGAATGCACTGCAAAATATAGATGAGATTTTATATGCAGAGTGTATACATCTACGTTTGTGTTATTTGTTGCACTCAACAAAATCGTGTTCGCGTGAAATTATAGTACACTCGTTTTAACGAGAAACGAGTTTTTCTACCCTTGTTTGTCCTGACGGTTGAAAAGTCTGAACGAAAGAAGTAAATTGCACGCTGGGTAGAATTCGTCTTGCTACTAAACTTTTTCTCATCTGTCGCGATGTTCAGGAAAGAAAACTCGGGTAACACGTAAACTAATAAATACCGAGAGAAATTTATTTGAGTTAATAAGTGACGTTCGAATAGGAACTCGAAGTGCGATTAATAAATTTCAGGTCCACCTGTCATGGGCCCGTTCAGCTTTCCCCCGAATCTTCAGGAAGGTAGTCGCGCCCAAGTGACGTGCACTGTCACTTCCGGTGATCTTCCAATTTATTTCTCCTGGCTGAAAGACGGCGAACCGTTGCCTTCCTCTCTGCGCGTACGTTTGTCATCATACTACGTAATTAGACTGCGAATTTTAGGTCGGTGTAGGCATTATAGAAATTGCATACATATATGTAGGTGAAAGGCATTTTGGGACGATTGATAATTTCAGGTCCACCGTACATCCGATCGATAGGACCGGTTCGCGCGATAGCCGGCATCGATACCACCATCGCGTGTCCCTATTCGGGCTATCCTATCACGTCCGTCGAATGGTCTCGTGGAGTAGTCGCACTGCCTCTCGATATAAGGCATCACGTTGATAGCGAGGGCCATCTTTCCATAGCTAACGTGGATCCGAACGATGCTGGGACGTACACGTGCATGGTCCGTGCGAGATCCGGGGAAACGGCAAGCAGAGACATTCTACTAACCGTCAGCAGTGAGTATTTCATATATTATGAATAACTAGCGTGCCCCGCTGGGGCTTCGACCGCGTGTTTTCTCTCGTTACAGCTCGGATTACTGTACGAAGAGATAAAAATCATAATGGCGTTGTTCACTTTTCGTAATTGAAAGATACCGCAAATGGTACAATTATCCTGTTAACATATCTACATCATGCTAGTATCATTTTGTTCAAAAAAAAATTTAGACATCTTTTTTAAAACTACAATTCGAATTGCAAATACTTCAGTCGTTCTTGAGATTTTTATTAACATACAAATAAACGTTTTCTTTTTATGTAATATTATTAATAATTATTTTAGTACTAAGGTATTAAAGAATGCACTGCAAAATATAGATGAGATTTTATATGCAGAGTGTATACATCTACGTTTGTGTTATTTGTTGCACTCAACAAAATCGTGTTCGCGTGAAATTATAGTACACTCGTTTTAACGAGAAACGAGTTTTTCTACCCTTGTTTGTCCTGACGGTTGAAAAGTCTGAACGAAAGAAGTAAATTGCACGCTGGGTAGAATTCGTCTTGCTACTAAACTTTTTCTCATCTGTCGCGATGTTCAGGAAAGAAAACTCGGGTAACACGTAAACTAATAAATACCGAGAGAAATTTATTTGAGTTAATAAGTGACGTTCGAATAGGAACTCGAAGTGCGATTAATAAATTTCAGGTCCACCTGTCATGGGCCCGTTCAGCTTTCCCCCGAATCTTCAGGAAGGTAGTCGCGCCCAAGTGACGTGCACTGTCACTTCCGGTGATCTTCCAATTTATTTCTCCTGGCTGAAAGACGGCGAACCGTTGCCTTCCTCTCTGCGCGTACGTTTGTCATCATACTACGTAATTAGACTGCGAATTTTGTGAAACAATGCACGTAACACGTAAAAACATACAAAACGAATTTTTGATAAAAAAACATTTCAATCTAGATTTTATTTTTTTAACTAACATTAGTCAAATTTTATTTTGCATATAAATCCGCAGTCTATACATAATATAGCCAATTACAGAGAACATTAAAAGAAATTTCCTCTACTGATGCCAGATCGAGGAAAGGGTGGCCGAATTCTTCAGTCTGCTCGTATTCAAGGAGCTCTCCTCCCGGCACAGTGGTAACTATACCTGCGTAGCGACCAACACCGCAGCCAAAGTGAACCACACGGCAGAACTATTGGTGAAAGTGCCGCCGCAGTGGATCTACGAGCCGCGAGACGTGGCCACCCTCTTGGGCAACCCTCTCAACGTTCACTGCGAGGCTAAGGGTTTTCCTCCGCCACGTGTCACGTGGCTACGTGCCAGAGGAAGAAGCTCGAACGATTATCAGCCCCTGGTGGACGGATCTGATGGCAGATTAACTATTCTACCCAATGGATCTCTGTGGACGGCCTCTGCTGGCCCTCAGGACGAGGGGCATTATCTGTGTCGGGCGAATAATGGCATTGGATCCGGTCTCAGCAAAGTGATCTATGTCTCCGTCCATGGTGAGTTTGAAATTTGTCTAAATATTTTATTAAACGTATCCAGTGATTAGATATTAAATGTAGTCCTACAAGGCTGAGATAAAGAACATTATTACTTCAACAAAACTTTGAAGAAAAGTGCTCTTTGTTAGAGTCTCCAAGGAAAAGATAAAGGATATGCTTTTTAATAATGAACATGATTTTTTTGTTCGGATCGGCAATAAAAATTTGGAGTATGCTTCTTGTACACCTAAGATAAATTAAAGATTTATTAATCCATGTATTACTTCTTTCAAAATTGCTAAGCATATGTATTCTCATACGGAATTAAGAATCATATAACATTTAAATAGTTTACGCCAATCTCGTTGTATGACTGCAGCGTGGAAAGACTATGAAAATCCTCTTTCCCAATATTTGTCAAAAATTGTCGTTTCTTTGCAGAGCCGGCGCGATTCGAGTTTCAAAGCAAAAACGTGACGATCCGTCGCGGCGAATCCGTGACGCTGGATTGCACCGTCATCGGGGACAACCCCATAGAGGTGCAGTGGGTGCACAACAGCGACCGTTTGGACACGAACAGCCATCGACTGAGCATCAGTCAAATAAAAACGGACAACGGACTGAAGTCGCAGTTGTCCATTGGTAGCAGCGATCGTCAAGATTCCGGAGTTTACAGGTGCACTGCTGACAATGCTTATGGGAGAAGCGAGCACTTAATCTATCTCGCTGTTCAAGGTATGAGAACATTCTCTATTGTCCCTTCATCTCGATTTATATTTCACTTTTTAAATGTTTTACCTTGTATAAAATATTTCAATCCCCTTGCGTACCGACGATATCTCGACTACCTCGGATACCCATCAACTGATTTAATTAATTGAAAAATACAAATGCAAATCCTTCAGTAATTCTTAATTAACTTTCCTGATGTATCAGCCATCGTTCCATTTACAAGGAACGGTGGTTGCACCAACAGTAGGAGGTCTGATCGTTGCGTTTACTGGATCTGAATGGACCGATCAGTTTCGCTGTGATCAGAGATGATTGTTTAATTATGTTCATTTCGCGTTGCACAGAGAGGCCGGATCCGCCAGCCTCGTTGGAGGTAATAGAAATCGGCTCGCGATCGATACGATTACTGTGGAAGAGGGCTTTCGACGGTAACAGCCCGATACGGAATTACGTTATTCAGTATCGGCCGCTGAATCACGGTTTGGCCGACGATTGGAACCCCGCGAAAACGCACAATGTCAGTTACACCCCCGGAAGTTCGAACACCGGGAACGCCATTCATCCAACGAGAAACGGTAATTACGTTCAACTATTAGGAGCTCACCATTCATCATTCGAAAATTATCTGATCAGTGATCAGACACTGTATTCAATACAATGGATTTCATTTTTACGTCGTACGATTGTCGACGCCGGGAATTATTTTAATTAAAGTTGTACGAGTCCTTAAATAAAGCATGACGAACCATCGAAATTGTAACAGTTATTAGATATTACATTAATAGAACACCGTCCAAGAATTTAGAAATTTTTCGAAGGTTTACACTTTAAATTCTAAAAATTCAAATTTTTCTTAGGCTTGTCAGCTTTCGAAACTACGAGCGATGATCAAGAGGTTGCTTTGGTGGGCGGACTTCATCCAGCAGTCACTTATACGTTTCGTATATTTGCCATAAATTCGATAGACGTGAGCGTGCCCACGGAGCCCGTAGTTGCCAAAACTCAGGAAGAAGGTATGGAAGTACACTGATGTAAAAAGTAGGGTAATAATGTTACAACGATGTTCCTCGAATTCTGAAGTGTGCTTGAATATTGACAGAAGGCATTGCATATACTAACTTTCTACCGAACACGTCAGTTATTTATACGCTGTCCTGATTTGACCAGAATAAACTAATAAAAAATAAAATTCCGTTATTAATCCATTTACATTTAAACTCGTAACAGCACCCACCGAACCACCCCAAAACATCAAAGTGCAATCAGCCGGACCTGGAGAGCTTATAGTCAGCTGGCAGGTAATAATAAATCAAACATAATTCTTTGTAGTAAAATGAAAAATGATATCGATAGATACGAAAATGATGTATTCACAGCCACCCCCGAAGGAATCGTGTAACGGAGATCTACTGGGCTACATAGTGACATGGTCTGAGTATTCATCATCGACGTCAGGTGTGAACCAAAGCAAAAGTTTAACCGTGAACGGATGGGCAACTACAAAGGTGCAACTTACCGGGCTGAGAAAGTTCACCAAGTACGATATATCGATCAGGGCTTTCAATAGTATAGCGAGTGGCCCGGCCAGCGTTCCCATTGTTGGAACAACTCAGGAAGGAGGTGCGGTAAACGCGTATAAACTTTCGCCTGTCTCGATCGTACGGTCTTCAGATGAGATTGTTTCATCTTTATTGATTTATACCAGTACCGGAAACTCCGCCGACGCAGGTGTCGTGCGTCCCTCTGTCTTCCCAAAGCGTGAGAGTTTCCTGGAGCGCGCCACCGCCACATCAGCACGGTGGGATTATTCAAGGCTATAAAATTTACTACCGGCCTGTGCCCACTGACAACAGTGAGTAAAATAATTAACGAATTCAACGAATAATTGAAATAAAAATTGAAGTTTCTACTTCAGTTTAAAAAAAGTAACATCTCAATGTGTCAATTAGTTTCTAAGATAAATATCCACAAGCGCGGCTACATTATACATCATCTTGGTCACATGAAAAATCATTTTAGTGGACATATCAACGGTTGGCGAGGTCAAGAAGATCCCCAGCGTGGAGACTTATCTACACACTCTGTACAAGTATACGAATTATTCGATCAGAGTTCTGGCCTACACTGGTGCCGGCGATGGAGTCCTAAGTCCGCCGATTTTTTGTACAACCGAAGAAGATGGTAAACATATTTCAATGTCACGCAACAATTTTATGATTATTGAGAGTAATGCATAAATTTGATACCTTAGTGCCAGGCCCGCCAGCTGGAATCAAAGCTTTAGCATTAACCGCGGAAAGCATACTAGTTTCGTGGTTACCGCCCCTGCAACCGAATGGGAACGTGTCCAAGTATACAGTAGCTTATAGTCAGCTGGCAGGTAATAATAAATCAAACATAATTCTTTGTAGTAAAATGAAAAATGATATCGATAGATACGAAAATGATGTATTCACAGCCACCCCCGAAGGAATCGTGTAACGGAGATCTACTGGGCTACATAGTGACATGGTCTGAGTATTCATCATCGACGTCAGGTGTGAACCAAAGCAAAAGTTTAACCGTGAACGGATGGGCAACTACAAAGGTGCAACTTACCGGGCTGAGAAAGTTCACCAAGTACGATATATCGATCAGGGCTTTCAATAGTATAGCGAGTGGCCCGGCCAGCGTTCCCATTGTTGGAACAACTCAGGAAGGAGGTGCGGTAAACGCGTATAAACTTTCGCCTGTCTCGATCGTACGGTCTTCAGATGAGATTGTTTCATCTTTATTGATTTATACCAGTACCGGAAACTCCGCCGACGCAGGTGTCGTGCGTCCCTCTGTCTTCCCAAAGCGTGAGAGTTTCCTGGAGCGCGCCACCGCCACATCAGCACGGTGGGATTATTCAAGGCTATAAAATTTACTACCGGCCTGTGCCCACTGACAACAGTGAGTAAAATAATTAACGAATTCAACGAATAATTGAAATAAAAATTGAAGTTTCTACTTCAGTTTAAAAAAAGTAACATCTCAATGTGTCAATTAGTTTCTAAGATAAATATCCACAAGCGCGGCTACATTATACATCATCTTGGTCACATGAAAAATCATTTTAGTGGACATATCAACGGTTGGCGAGGTCAAGAAGATCCCCAGCGTGGAGACTTATCTACACACTCTGTACAAGTATACGAATTATTCGATCAGAGTTCTGGCCTACACTGGTGCCGGCGATGGAGTCCTAAGTCCGCCGATTTTTTGTACAACCGAAGAAGATGGTAAACATATTTCAATGTCACGCAACAATTTTATGATTATTGAGAGTAATGCATAAATTTGATACCTTAGTGCCAGGCCCGCCAGCTGGAATCAAAGCTTTAGCATTAACCGCGGAAAGCATACTAGTTTCGTGGTTACCGCCCCTGCAACCGAATGGGAACGTGTCCAAGTATACAGTTTATAGCAGAGAGGCTGGCTCTAATAACCATAACACGCGTACCTTGTACGAGCCCCCAGCGTCACCCACTGACACCCTGACCATGGAGTTGCGAGGCTTGGTAGAAAGGTAATTACCATTTAACAATTAAATTATAATCGATAATTGGAGAATTATATTAAGTTGAGAGAGAGATAACTAAATTCTGATATTAATAATTTACGAATTTTCTAATTAAGAATTAAAGTTCAATTTAAAAAATAAAACTAATTCATTTCTTAGGCAAGAGTATGAATTTTGGGTGTCAGCAACAACAGGAGTAGGGGAGGGAGAGGCGACTCCTAAAGTAAAGCAAATTACAGATACTAGAGGTTCGATTATTTACAAAGTTTAAACATTCTTCTATTTTAATACAATTACTAATTAGACTTAATTAAACACAAAGCTCCTGCTAGAGTGGCGTCGTTCTCACAATTGTTAAGAAGGGCGATTAAATCCTCGATCACATTGTCCTGCCTAGTCGTGGGGAACCCTACGCCTCATCCGATATGGACCTACCGAAACAATCAAATTTCTACTGGCAGGCATTACGAATTAACTACCGACGGTCATCTCTATATTCGCAGTTAGTATACAAGCCTGTCCAAGTAATAATTAGTTATGCCTTTATTGATCCATCACGGATTACAATGGCTTAGACTTCCGTTTCCGTCACACTACTCCTTTCCTCGTCTCTGCAAGTAGTACAAGTCAATGCTTAGGAAATTGTCTGATTGATAAATAATTAGGTTTAGATCAATCAGTGGCGGGGAATTACACATGTTCAGCTCACAATTTATACGGTGACGACTCAATCACGTACACGTTGGTTGTGGTGATGCCTCCAAGGGCGCCAATGTTGGAGCTTCAGTATACGACAACGAATAGCATAAGATTTAGATGGAGTCATCCAAGCAACGGCGGTGCCACCATTCAAGGTACGAATGTTTAACAAAATTTAGCAAAACATATTTGTTAATTAAAAAATAATTTTGTCAGGCTACGTGTTAAGTTACAAAAGGGACCAAGGTGGCTGGGAAGAAATTACCTTGTCACCCGAGCACACTGAGTTCATTTTAACCGGTTTGAAGTGCGGTTCCTCGTACTTGGCGCATTTAACAGCGCACAATCGCGTGGGCACAGGAGATCCGAGTGCCCTTATCAGCGCTACGACCAAAGGAACTGGTAATTATTAATTAAACAATTTCAAAATCATCCATTATTGTGTGCTTTATGCATTTACAAGAAAATTCAGAGAAAATATTAATTGTCTTTAGATGCGTGACTACAGGTCTCTCATAAAGAATTTGTTTGCAGCTCCTTTATTACCGAAAGAGCGAGACATTATATCCGCGAACGGCACCTCCGTGACGCTGAATCTTTTGTCCTGGCCTAACGGCGGTTGCCCGATTCAGTACTACACCGTAGAGTACCGTAGACGCGTCAACACCGAACCATGGATTTTAGTGGCGAGCCGCGCTACCGAAAATCTAGTCATAAGAGATTTGAAGACTGCTTCGTGGTACAGTTTACGTTTGACGGCGCACAACGACGCCGGTTCCACGCAAACGATGATGGAATTCGCAACGACTACTTTAAGCGGCGTCAGCATCGGACCTCCAAACGATTTGATCATGGAGGACGACGTTAAGAAAGCTATACCAAACCAAAAAGTGCTTTACGTGGTCGTGCCCCTCGTCTGCGCGATCGTATTGATCATTTCGGCCGCAATTTTGGGATACGTTATGTTAAAACGTAGTGGAAGGTATTTATTTATCTTTAACTAACATTGCTTTTGTCCAAAATTATATTTGCTTTAGTGAAAAATGAGAGAATTCATTTTTCATTAAAATATTAAATACAAAAAAATCGATTACACTACTAGCGATATAATTAATATCGTCTTCCGTGGAAAAGATTGAATTGTAAGTTACATCTACTAGAGCTAACTACTTGGGAGAAATACTGCCTGGGCAACAACAGAACCAGCAGTCAGGACTGGGCTTGGTTCAACAGCAACAGCAACATCAGCAGCATCATCATCTCTCTAGCTGTATGTCTACCATGCAACTGAAATCGACAGCTGAACGTGATAACAGAAGAAATCATCAGGTCTATACTAGCTCGCCCGTAAAGCAGGAGAATCACAAATCGAACGATCACGGATCAGGTTCGTCTTCGTATTTCAATTGATCGGTAGAGAACATGAACGGAAGTTGAGACAATTGCTCTATATAAAATAATATTTTTTTACAGAAATGTACGAGATAAGTCCATACGCTACGTTCAGTGTACCGGGAAGAGAAAATCGTTCAGTGACCACGGCTACGCTTGATTACACCATGCAATTTAAAACGTTCGGCCATTTGGAAAACGAGGACATAAATACTATCGACTACGAGAGGTCCAGCGTGGACTTCGAGAGGTAACTGTTTGCTTTCGACGTTTATATAGAACGCATGATTGCGAATCGAATTATTTCCTGCTCGAATCCCCTGCTCGAGGATAACCCCCCGCTCCCGAAACCCTTTTCTCTTCCTCTTTCTGGTGTTCTTTCACGTTCAGGTCTAAAACACCAAGGTGGCACAAGCAACGGTACTTCCCGAGCATCGCGGAAGCGGAGAGCAAGCTGCGCAGCAGTCGTCAAGGTTCCGGCAGCGACACTTCCGGCAGCCCTTGCGGCGAATGCGCTGGGCCTAGTTACAGGGTGCCAGTGAAGCCTTGCAGAGGTAAGCTTCATCGTACGAATTATCTATTAAAAATGAACTACGCTAACATTCAAAGTATGTAGACAGTTCCTTATAATGCAATTAATCGAATGAAGTAATAAAATCATAAAATCATTATTGTTTTTGTTTTTTGTACAGATGTGTTCTCACGGGGTGTGGAGTCGAGTACAGAGTCGAACAACGAAGGTTCACCCTCGCTTGCGAGACGACGGAGCCGACAACCGAGCCGGTCTACTCGCAGGTAGCCAAGGTTTGTTTGTTTCCACATAGCACTCAGTCCTGATTATGTTCAATATTCGTATCATGTCACGGTCCTATCGGTCTCATGTCGATGCGAGAATCAGTAATGGAAAAATGTAAAATACCGTGAAAACAGTTACGATTACAGTTACGATCGAACCATGAAATAAGCATACATTTTTCTATTAACATCATTTCATACATTTCATAATTCAATTCATTTAGTTTAACTTTATTTCATCATTAGACTATTTAGATTGTTAACAAAGAATATTTTCAAACTCCGAATTAATCTGCTGTAAAGAACGAAAGTGAACCAACACCTTTTAAAATTGAATAACTTTTTTAAAATCGAACGAAACGATCTGAATGGTTAGCTGGATTAGTTTACTAAACAATAAACACGTGAAGAAAATTTCGGAAAAATTAAAATTCATAGAAATTGCAAAGAAAAAAGTGAAGGTCGCTTTTTCTCAATTTTTTATCTGAGGTTGTCCTCGTTATAGAACTTTCAATGTTCCTTCAACGATCTCAACCCGATCCAGATTAATTCGATGCAACTCGATCAGACTTCATAGCGACAATAAGAATTTCTTTTCAATTACATTTTAGTTGAATAATTTGTGCAATTGTTCTAAGCGGTGAATCCGTTGTGCGTAGTTCGGTGGAAGACATGACGTTGTTGCCGCCAAGCGGGTTTAGCGACAGCCGCGAATTGAGCGACGTAGAGTGCGACCGTGATCGTGATCGTGGTGAACGTGATCGTGATCGTGATCGTGATCGCGACTGGCAGGGCCTCACGGCCGGGACCCGCCACGGCGGCAGCCTGGGTAGATTGCCGATCGAGGCCGTCGAATCTATGCTCGCTAGGTATCGACACGAACCTACGTAGACCGTAGTAAGCTGACACGAGATTCATTCCGCACTCATTGTCAGATTAATCCTGAAAGATCGCTACTGTCACATACGAAATGTATATTCTAAAAGGTGATATTTCAGACAACTTTAGAAAAAGTCATTATTCAGCGAGTCTATTTATACATATAGTCTATATACATAGACTCACTGAATATATAGTCTCACATGTATAGAGCCTATAAAAATTGACAAGAATTTTCCGGATAACTCAGTATTTTAAAGATCTTACAAGGATTAAAACAGATTACACTAAACAGCACCTACCAAAATAAATTTCACTGCATAGATATTAGTCTAGAACAGCTTTAACAATAATAGAAAGACATACGATTGCTTTTTATCACTAGAAATGAAACTTGCAGTCAATGATAAACGATATTGAGTGTTTCGTTTTAAAACTTCGTTGCAGGTATCAGCAAAGAAAGGAACAAGAAAGGCAAGAGTTCACTATACATGTATGATCGGGATCTAGCAGTTCAAATAGAAAATGAGGAGCGAAGAGCGTTAAATAAATCGAAAGGTAAAGAGTCCTCTGGGGAATCGTAGACTGCCTAAATATCCTGCACAGTTTGTTAATAAGAATAATATTTCCGGTCGAAACAGGTGTAACTAGGGATCAGGGTTGCAAATAATCGACGAAATCTTTAATCTAATTGAACACCAATTAATAAACAATTAACGTTCAATTCTTAATTTAAAGAGTAATCTAAAAATTAAAATTCAATTCGGTTCAAACCTGTTAAGTTAAGAATTAAAATACAATCGTTAATTCAAGTTTCTTCTAATTAAAAATTGAAATGTAATTTCGTCATTCTTAATTTGACAAGTTTGATAAGGACTGATATAATTTATAATTAGAAGAAATCTTAAATAACGATAAAATTTTAATCCTTAATTAACAAATACTCCTGTTATGGATCAAAATTTAATGCGGCAATTAAAAATCTGCAACCCTGCTAGGATCCTCGTCGTAAACTTAATCATTGCTCACGTCGGTTACTGAGAAAAATGTTTCCAATGTCCATTTTAATTAAGGAATTAAGCGTTGAATATATTTCACGGTTTTCTGTCAATGGAAAGTCTAGCATATTAATTCTAAAACAGGTGTTCTACGTCTGAACATTTTTCTCAGTGCGGCAATTAAATTCTCGGCTTCACTGCCGTTGTGTTATTCGTTAAATCAATCGAGACCAATCGCCAGGAACAACTAATCGTGAAAGTATCGACAACGGTTCTTAAATAAGTGCAAATCGTCCTTCACCTAGAAATTGCGCATCATTTAAGATTCTCCACGATCACAACCATTTCTGAGAAGATTCCGCAAATTGAGGTAAAAAAAGCATCCATCGACAGAGTATTAGGAAACAAGTCAATTTAGAGATGGAATAATGAATTATAGTTCCACGGGGGAAAAGTTAAGCTTCTAACAGGCAGAAGCCTTTTTCTGGAGACAAAGGGATAAGCAATAAATCATCGATAGAAGGTTTCCAGCATATCGCGTGCTTTCAAAGCCTCTCTTTTCCCCAGTCGGACTGTAAATACCTGTATAATCGTCTAACTATTGTATAGTATAGATTGTACGTATCATTAGTCACACTGTTACCACCAATTGTATAGTTGAAGAAGGCGCAACGAGTGTCGGGGATGAACAGAATCGTTTACTGCCATTCTTAGAAAACATCGTTTAAATCGTCTCTTGTATAATTGTTACCCTAACGATCATATTGGAGAGTAAGAATTTTTACTACGATTTTTACTGCCCCTCGATATAATTTCACCATATTATTTCATCTCGTATACGACGTGCTTAACTATAATTACGTCATTATCTTATTTAGATCTTTTATCAATCGACATTCATGTTTCATAACAAGAATTTTTATAAGACTATACAAATCTTAAGAAAGGGGTACGAGGAATATAACGATGTTTTAAAAAAACGACGGCAGCACACGTGCTGTTTTTCAAAGTGCTAAATTACAACAGCATTCCTAATTATCGGCATTAAATAATATGCATCTATTGGCATTGTTTCTCTGTTCGATTAATTATGTTGAGAAACTAATTCGAGCATTCTATTCGCGTGAATCGATCGAAGATCGGTGCGTGTGGTTGTGTAAGGATAACATAACGACGCATTTTAAATTGTACATATATGTATACATGTATGCATCATATTTAGAGGATGAACAATTTATCGACATACACAATGAGCTCGATTATTAATTAACGCCAAACGATATAGCTTTAAGTATTATACGTTGTTTTCATTTGCGGAATATTCTATACATAGATATTTTAATGTTTTACCTTTCATGCTTCTCGCGTTTTGGGAACAAAGTAATTAAACGATTACTTTACATTGGAACAACAGGACAGACTGATTGATTAGATGAATTGCGGTCTATTAAAGTAAAGATTCGAAATCGTTCGTTCTTAAAATGCATGAAGAAACAAAAGGTGAAACATCGTATTTCGAGACAGAACTCGTGCCGATCGGATGAGACATGATATAAATAACGAATTGAGATCCGATCTACGTGCATCGTTCTCGGGAAGGATGAGACTGAAAGGCTAATTAACTACGCTTACGTTGATTTCTGCCAGACAGAGTTTACGGTTTACAAATACTATTAATTTACGGCTATTGCCTCATTTAATCTAACACGATGTCGCAAACGTACGTTTATTTGTAATTTGGAATCTTAAACCGAGGGCATACTTTTAACAAGATTAATCGATGAACTGCCATATCAGCTTTTAATGTTTATTTAACTATGTCTTAACAGGACTTCAATTTTCGAAGTTCCTCTTTCGATAACGCTAATCAACTTAATGATGCAATGTATACTATCACGTACTTAGCAATAGCTAGTGCAGCTTTTTGAATTTTCTACATCTTTTATATACCTTACTTTTACAAACGAATAATTTAGCTGTCGAATATGCAAAGTATGCCCTCTCACAAGAAGACGATACAATCGTAATTCAAGATTGAATCGTACGACTATTTAAGAAGGTTCGATACTCAAAAAAAATGACAAGCAAGTTCCAATTGTCCTGATACCAAATCATCCCTTAAAATTCAAGTCATTTCACAGACAGCGGAGAAACTGGAGGAAAATATTCGTAGGATTGTTAATGGGATTCAGGAGTGTATTCGGGTATGACACAAAATTTTAACAAAGCAATAGTATCGTATAAAAAAAGTTTAGGCAATCATTTATCCGATATTGAGGCTTCACCATTCCTTAAGATGTATCGACTGGTTTTTTCTTTCGAAACTCGTTTGCGGCGGTCATTTTTCAGTCTTCTTGCTTTCACATGCTCGAGTTTAGCGCTGGTTAATCTACTCATTTAATCTTAATTAGTCTTTCTTACGTAAGTTTGATATATGTAATTTATTTAGTGAACTATACTGTCAATCATTTTGAAACCTTTATAGGACAGTTTTTAAGTGTTTAGAATTAAACAGAAATAGTTTAAAAAATTTTCTTATTCTTATTTCAGTATCGAGCCTCCTTAAATTGATGTCTAATAAAGTTTTTGTCATAGTCAAGAGGAAACGTGATCGTAGTTAGAAGAAAATGTTGACGAAATAAAGATAATTAGTGCGACTGTTTTGAGAGTATGTGCGCGTGTTATAGGAACCGGTCGCATGGCACGGCCATCGCGAGCGAGTGAACTATTTGTACATGAGATGTGAACCTTAGACTTACTATGTATCATATCCTCGTATAAGCATCCATGGACATGGGCGAGTCTGATAAAAATCTTTTCGTCGTCCGTTAACGCAAAATGCAGATCACCAAAAAAATCAGGATAAAACAACCGAATGTCTTGTCGAAGTGTCAAACTTTCATAAAAGTATGCTATTTCAGCTTGTTAATAAAGAGGAACAGACATTTATTTCATGCGTTTCCTTTCCTGAATTGACTATTATGATTTACCACTTTTAAGAATTCGATCAAGGATCGCGAAATAAAAATTCGAAAATTCTTTTATTATTCGCAATTTAGCAATTAGTATACAATTTAAGATAAGGAGATTCGAATCTTCGTTGTTCTTCACTTGGTTCCAAAGTCTCGGAAACGGTACATACTCTATCATGTAATTAAGTTCTCGATTTTAATACGAATTCTGATTAGGATCGTAGTTTCGATTTCGACTTTAATGATGATCGTGGTTCTGGATTCAATTTGATTTTGACAAATATTTGATCGAATAAAAAATACAGTGAAATACTATTTCAAATGAATTCTAAATAGTGATGGGCACTATCGACTAATTTAAAGTATCGACTACCTAGGGAATAATCGCAACGTACTATCGACTAATTAGTCGATAGTTTTTAGTCGGATGAATAATATGTACAAGCTCAGTTCATCAGTGTACAGAGCGTAAATAGGCTATACGGACGTGTTCCAGGAGCCTTCCGATTCTGGGTATTGTCCAGTCGGAAAATCGGTTTAATAAATAAATAAATAGTCGGATGAAATATCGCTCCCGTGGTTATGCCTCTATATTGTGATCCTAGCATTCATATTCAAATAGCATTTTTATTTCGCTATACTTGA